GCCGCGTGGATAAGTGATAAATTTTATTAAAAATTTCGTGTTTTGTTATTAAAATGATCTTAAATTTGTAGGATCAGAGTGAAAATCAAATATTTTTATTGAAAAAAAAACTAGGTAAAATAAAAAAAAATTAAAAATATAAAAAAAAATAACATGAATTCAAATAAAATAAAATGGTTTAAACTAAAAAAGATGTATACATTATAAAGAAAAATTAAAATAAAAAATAAAATATATCGGAAAAAAAGTAATTTAATTGAAACAAAAAATAAAAAAACTAAGAAATTGAACTAATAAGAAAAAGATATAAAATAATCATTTGAAAAAAAGTGAATTGCAAAAATTTAGTATTTTTTTTAAAAAGTATAAATTTTCTCGCATATACCCACTGTGCGTGTAAAAAAGTAGTGAACACTAGTGTCATAAATATAGTTACTACACTCTTTAATTATTTGCAAATATGGGAAGATTTGATTTTTATTTTTCGGTAAAACCATACATTCTTTTTACATATATTCGCTGTTATTGTTAGTATTTTGTTGCTTTATATAGAAAAATTGTTTGCAACTACACTTTAACGCTGCTAAATTTGCTTTGATTTGATTTTTGTCCTAATTCAATTTGGTTTTGTAAGTTTTGCAATTTTTATTTGTTCTTGTAGACGTGTTTTATATGTTTTAGATTGATTTTAACTATTCACCAAACCTCAATTCAGGTGTAGTTGGCTGTATAATTTGTAAAAAAAAAATTTAAATTAAATTTTTCGTATTTTTTTTCTTCTTTATTGCTTCTTAAAGCTTACTAGTCGTTTCTTTCAAGTGTATTTAATTTGTATATTTTCCACACATTTTTTTTATTAAATTAATTTTTTTTGTTATTATTAAATAATAGCGCTATTGTTGTTGTTATTGTTGTTTTGTGTTTTATATTTTTCTAGTAATAAATCGTTGTTGCAAAAATAGGACGTGACTGTACTTGTTTGCTTGTCTGCATTATATTGTTGTTGCTTAATATTTTTGTGTTGCTTTCCTTTTATCTGACTATTTTTTACTATTAACATTAACCCTTAGTTAAACAAGTTTCATTTTAAATTTTAGTATTTGCTGCCACAGTGACGACTTTTTAGGCCGTTAATGTTGGTTTTGTGTGCAATTTTTTTCTGCTTACTATATATTTGTATATATATTTTTTTGTAATCTACCGTTTGAAAAGTGATTTTGTTGTGTTAAACGTAGTTTTTGTTTTTGCCTAATGTTTATTGTGTTTTTTAGTGTTATTCTTAGTTGCGGCTTGCTGTGTTTTGAATTTTAGTTACTGTTTAAATCTATTCTATTTTCAATAAATTTCTTTTTGTTGTGAAATATGGAACACTAGAGTTAAAATTGTGTAACTACTTAGTTTTATTGTGTTAGTTTTTTTTTTTAATTTTTTTACATTCGAAAAATTTTGCTTGCTCTGGCCATTCTCGCAGCAGCACAACTCTCAGCTGCCGTTCGAGCAAATACGCGTGCTTTGCCAATTTTAAGTACCTCTCAGAGTACTGCAACAACATACTTTGCCGTTGTCCTCTTCGCTTTCATAACTAGATTGAAAAACTTCTGAAAACTACTACAGCTACGCTAATTTTTTCGTCCCAAAATATTTTAGATCTATTTTCGAGTATTTAGTGTTTTTTATTATGTTTTTTTTTTTACTTTCTTTATGCAATTTATTTATTATTCATTATTCATTTATTTTGCAATCATTTATTGGTTTTTATTTTATTAAACTTTTCGCTCTTAAGCCTACAACCTTTTTTATATACTATTTATTAGTATTTAGTTTATGTTTTTTACCTTTTTGAAATATTTTATATGCATAAATATTCAAAACTCATTTTCAAATATATTATTTTATTTTTGTTTTCTATTTATACAAGTCTTAGAAACTTTAAAAAAATTATACGTCATAAATTATTATTTTATACACACCTTTATTTTTAATAACTTAGATTTTCGTTTAATTTTTTCATTCACTGCTACCTCTTAAACGTAGTAGTGTTACTATAGATTTTACATTTAATTTTTATTTTATTTTATTTTTTTCCAAATATTCTTGTAAATAGTTCATCAACCTTTAATTGTTGCCTTAATTATTGTGATAAATTGAAAGTGATTGCTGTAGGGTATGTAAGTGTGTGTTTTTGTGAGGTTAAGTGTATGTGAAATTTTGCTTAAGATTATTAAGTAAAATAAGAAGTGTAAAAAAAATTAGAATATGAAAAAGAATCAACTGAAATTGTTCGAAAAAAAAAACGAAAAATAACAAACGGCTCATAAAGCTATTAAAAAATTACCGAATGAAGATAAAAAACATTAAACCGCAAATATATTTCAAAATTGAGGTCCTCTATAAACTTTTAGCTGAAAATGTTTCTGTACACCCAGAATTGGTTTACAATGACAAATACATCCTCTCCGTTGTTTTAAAAATAATAGTCCACTTTTAGCAAATCCTCTTGTTCTTTTCCCTCGCACGAGGATGCGATTTTTCGTACATTGATTTCGCTTACAGTTGCTCCGCATATATTAGTTTCATTCACTTTAATTCTCTATCTTTCCCTCTTTTGGGCGCTCTTCATTAAAACTGCTCTCTCTCTCTCTTTCTCTTTATTCATACCCAGTTATTTCGGATTCTGAGTTGTATCAGATTCAAAGCGATCTAACGTAAGTTCATGTTGATGTCTAGTGGCTACCAGAATACAGTTTTGATTCAATTAGTGAACATAAATTCGTTCTGTCGATGATATAAACAGAATACTGTTGTGTCTAACGAGCTGAATTTTCTTCAAAAACTTTAGATACCGTGAAAAAGGCGCTGTCGATATGCTTCGACATGGCAATGCTGACTCAACTTTTAAGACAGGAACTCTACAGGTGAAGAAACGCGGCTAAACGAGCTTTGTAAACAGCCTCGCGCGAAGCCAATACGCTGAAGTATGACTGTGCATAAAGCTCAAGGAAAGTTTCTTTGATAATCATTTATTATAAAACGTTTTTGGCTCAAAATTTGTTTCATCAACATAACTTGCCAATTTGTTAGGGTTGGATTTGTTCTATTCTTCAATTCCCAATAGGCACAAAAAACTTTTGTTTTAATTTTTTTCCAACAACAGTTTTTCCAAGGTTTGATTAAAAGTTGTTTTTCTTTACTCGATTGGAGGACACTGACACTGGAGATGACAGAACGCCGAAACTGGTTTGTCTCCAAACTAAACTTAACAAAGGATGACGGAAATTCGTTCTAAAATAAATCAACTTCCCACCCTCTCGAAAAAAAATCAACCAACACCAACAAACTAAGTATACTTTGCGTGCCAAATATGTATGTATGTGTCAGTTTGTTTGAGATTGCGTTGGTTCTCCAATTTCGGTACACTTGAAACTCAACAATGGAAATTGGATTTGCACTCTTCCCCCAACCTAAATGTTTATTGAGTTATTTCGCCGTTTTATCTTTTTTTTGAATATTCATTGAAATTCTTATCATATTTGCCTCACCTCACTTCCTGAAAAATATGTAGGCCTTCGACGTGGAAATATTTCGGTATTTGATTTGTTCATTGTTTGGTTGATCATTAGGGTGGCCCTAAGAAATATGAAAACCTAAATTTTGTATGGGTCACCCCCTTATTTTATTCTATAAACAAAATAAGTACTTCCACAAAAAATTTAAAAAATTAAAAAATTTTTTAAAAAATTTTAGGGGTCGCTATTAAGCTTTGAAAAATTTTAAATCTGATAAATTTGAAATATTATTGAAAACTATACATATAAATTCGTAATCACTATGCAATATTAAGCAACCAAGACCAGAGTTGCCAACCATTCTTAGCTTTGAGCCATATTGAGGTTAAAAAGGTGCCAAGAAATAAATAAAAGGTGCCATTCTTCTTCATCGAAAGAAGATTATTTATTTTTCTTCCCCATTTCGCAATAAAATAAAAACCACATTTCTGAAACAAAAGTGCAAAACCAAAATAAGAAAAATCAGTGGCATAAACTTGAGAAACTAGAATATCTTAGTTCGTGAAAAAGTAGTACACGCGAAGGATTTCCCAAAAATGTATTGAAATAATACTATTTAGGTGCCATTTGAGGTATTTAACCTTCATTAATCATATTAGCTATACCATTTCTAAAGCCTACCCTATCCTTTCAAAGCTGGAATACGCTTCTTTAATCTGGAATCCAACTTACAAAACTCATTCCGCTAGACTTGAAAGAGTACATCGAAGTACCATCCTATATGGCCTGCTGTACGCTTATAAATCTGAAATCACTTATGTCTAAGCGATCTATTCAATCTTTGCTTTTAATATACGATATCGTTGACCGTCCAGAGATTCTTGAGCAAATAAACTTCAATGTTTCACACAGAAATTTGCGCTGTCACTAGCCGTTCCATATTAAAGTTATGAAAGCTCATTTCTTCAACTATGACCACATTTCAAGAGCTCTCACTGAATTTATTAGAATTTTTAGGATCCTTGATCTCGACTTCGCTTTCACGAGATCTCGGTTTGGTTCATTGCTTGGAATCATTTTATTCGTAATCATATTTTTTAAGTACCTAATTTACGCTTAGATATATACAAGCTTGCGTATATCTAGTCTGTAGTAAATCATAGACTTAATAAATGAAAGGAAATTAAACGAAAATGGCACCTTTTGAGCCAAGTTGGCAAACCTGAGCAGAACTCTCATTTGTTTATCGGAAAAAGTGCAATATTTTAAAAATTTATCTTAAAAAAAATACTAAGAAACTCGTGTTTACACTCTAAAAAATCTGTTTAAAAATGCGACTATAAATCGAGTATATTTTTGTTTATTTTTAAAACTTCTTGATAAATTTACGCGATGAATATGTATTTTCCTCGTTTACACATTTTCGTGAGTAAAAATCCTTTTTGTTAGCGGCTTTACGCAATTCTACGGGTGAAATCAAACAGCAGATGTGTATTTTGTAGCTTTTACACACTTTCGTAGTAAATTTCCACACACCACAGCAGCACGAGCATGTGATTTCGCGAATAATAAGGTAGGAAATCAGTAACCTACCTTTTAACTAGAAAGTCTACACAATTTTTTTTTAGAGTGTAGGGAGAGTTAGTATGGCCCATCCTGAGCTCAGAAAGTATCTTTTTTGATTTTTTTCCATAATAAAAAAATTTCCAATTTATTAAATTTCAATATTTCCAGACAATGATAGCGACCCCCCAAAACATTATTTTAAAATTTTGAACTTTGCGGGAATGTTTCTATTTCATACGTATAAAGAAATTAAGTGGTGTCCTATACAAAAATTTATATGTTGATAGTTTAAGGACCACCCGAACTCATTTTACTTTTTAAAAATCGCGCAGAGCTATTTATCCTACACTTCATTCAACTATGGCATTCGCAGGACCTCCAGATCGGTAACTAAATATCCTTCAAAACTCGTCAATTAATTTTTGAATTTTAAATTATGAGCTCATAACATTCACTCTAGTATCGATTAACGCTTCGTTCGCCAAAATAAAAAAAAAAATATATAAAAGATGTCGGTAAATAAATAACACAGCAAAACTGTTTAAAAAAAGGAGTATTTCGTGTATATTATTTAATATATCTCTGCTTGTATTAGATCGCAAATACAAAAATTGTTCACCTACTATGTTTTACACTTTCACACAAAAGAGCACGTAAGTAGTTATGTCGTACTGCTTAATCGCTAGTCGATATCGACTCAATATGCTTATAAACAATGAGAATATAATAAAACGGTTTCTTTTTTAAATAACAAAACAAAACAATAAAAATTAAATACTTAACAAGTTGAGTGCATAAAACTTATGAAAATTAAAACCTCTTTCCGATGCACCGCGCGGTTGCCAGCGAATTTAGCTGCGCGATCGCCTTCAGTTACATTCATAGAAATGGTCATTTGGTGCTTAATGCTAATATATTCGAGTGTAAATTGTAAATGTTGCTAGCAACTTACGTCGTGCTGTGGTTGTATGCCATTCGCGAATTATATGCCATTACGCGCGCTTGCGTTTTTATGCTGCGCGCTTAGCTGCCGCTAGACATTTACGCACCTAAGCGTTGCCATTGCTGCCAATGATAATGATGTGTTGCTGTTGCTGCTGCTGTTGCTGCTGCCATTGGTAGTGCAGTGCTTGCTGTTGTTGTTGCCACAAGTGCTGATATTGCAGCTGCTGCTGCTGCTGGTAGTTGTTGCTGTTGCCGCTACCGCTGCTGTATCCGTTAAATTGCGCATTTCATATGCAACCGCCCAACGCCGTGGCTGCAGCAGCAGCCGTTGTTGTTGCTACCGCTAGCGGTGTAGTTGTAGTTGGCGCGCCCGCTGCTGTTGCTGCTCCGCCACTCAGCACATGTGTATGCGGCGCTGTGCCCGCTGTTGTAACCGCAGCGGCAAGCATATGTTGTGGCGCGGCGGCAGTTAACATTTGCGGCGCTGCTGCATAGTGGAATTGTTGTTGTTGCGCTGCGGCGGCTGCTGCTGCTGCGTACTTCATCAAATGTTGCTGCACTGCTGCGGCGCTTTGCTGCTGGTGATGCGTCGGGTAAATGTACTGCGCTGCTGTGGCGGCGGCCATAGGCGCCGGCTGTGGTGGTTGTTGTTGTTGTAGTTGTTGGTGTTGCTGTTGCTGCGCTGCTGTCAAAATTGGAATGCAATTCGAATTGTAGTCGCTGCTGAGCAACAAAGTTGGTGTACCCGGTGTCAATTCGTAGGCGCCGCTGCCAGCCGCGGTGTTGGCGTATGCCGTGAGCTGCGATGGCGCCGCCTTTAGGTAACCACCAGCAGCGCAGGCAGTTGGTGGTGGTGGCGCTGGCACGGTGGCAATCGCTGTGGGTATGGTAACGGTGGAGGTGGTCGGCAGCGTCGATGTGGCTGAGGTGAGCGCTACGGGCGGTGAGGTGGCGATCGAGCAGGACGAAGATGAGGATGCAGAGGAGGGCGAGTAGGGCGAATGGCAGGTGAAGTGGGGCAGATGAAAGGCGGCTGGCTGCTGTTGTTGGTGATGGTAGATGGCGTGTGTGGCATGCTTCGCGGTGTTGCTGCTGCCGTTGCTAGGGCTGTAGTGAGCGGAAATGTAATTGTTGTTGTGATGATAGTTGTATTGTGATTGTTGTTGATGTAGCTGGTGGTGCTGCTGTTGTGGTTCGATTATTATCAAATTGTTATTGTAGTTGGTGGCAATGCCGGGCGTTGTTGCTGCGGCGGTGGCGGCGGCGGCGGCTGCTGCTGCTGCTGCTACCGACTTGGCATGCTGTTGGTATTGTTCATGTGCTTGCTTTTGTTGCTGCTGCTGTTGTTGTTGGGTGATTGTATGCACTTGATTGTTCTGGCTGTTGTTGTAACTGTTGTTGCTGCTGTGATTGCTTGCATTGCTGCAGCTACTACTGCTGCTGCTGCTGCTGCTACTGTTGCTATGTAAATTATTGTTATTACTGTTGTTGTTGATGTTGCTGCTGCTGGTGCTGTTGCTGCTATTTGTATTGACGTAGGCAGCCATAACATTCGCCGGCGGCAATACAATCGGTATATGATAATATTTACATTGTTTACGTCTGCATTGGCCGTTGGCGTGATCGCGACACACAGCCACACGTTGATCACATACTTCAACCTTGTCATCTGTTGGTGGGGCGGAAGGGTAGCGTGGAAGTACGTAGCGAGAGAAAAGAGAAGAATTCAAAAATTTAATTAGCGATAATTTTAATAACTTTTTTGGTAAACAATTTGTAAATAAATTTTAAAATTACATATATACAACATTTGTTTGCCTGTTTGAGTGAGTGTGTGTGCGTGTATGCGTGTGAAAAGAGAGAACAAGACATACATATTTAGTTGGTGAGAGTGAAATACTGGGCTTGCAAGCTGTTTGCAATAGAAATAAGTTTAATAAATCTCATAAATTTGTTGACTTAAAACAATTTTTGTTTTTATTGTTTGCTAACTTACTATATATATTTTAAACAGTAAATATTATATATTCATATTATTTTCGTTAATGTTGCAAAATGAATAATTACAAGGAAAATACCTCAGGGTTTCTGTATGTAGTTATAGCCCAATTCCACTAAAAGCTTAATTGCAGTTAAGAGCTCGGGCAAGTTCCAGGAAAATTTAACGTGGGGTGATCGGCCAACAACTACGCAATTCGTTCTGTAATCCCCTTTTTTATAATGAGCATACATAAACTACATTTAAGGCTTGGTGGAAATTAACTATTAAAATAAATAGTAAATCAAAGGATTCATAGCTCAGTAGGTTATAAATCTTTTATAAGTGCTGCTAAATCTACTGCCTGCCTGTTTTTGAGACATAATGCTGACACTTCTTATATATTAGAGGAACACAGAGCTGTTAGCAGAAATAAAGCAAAAACAGTCCGCCTCACTTGAATATACACATTATTTATCTCAGGGATCGAGCTTATATCGAAGGCGGAGTGGAAGATGGACCTATCTTGGCAGCTAGTTCGAAAACGCGCTATCTCAGAAGAAAGCCCTATTTCAGAATCCGGTTGAATACCGTCCTATTTCAGAATCTCTTTCTATGCAAATTTTAACACCAATTAAAAACAAGTAAGAGCAGCGCTGTCTTCGGCTATACCGAGGGCTTCTACCTTTCATGAACATCTGAAAATTTGACTTTAACAGATTACTGAATTTGAAAAAAATTATATATTCACAGCATACATGGATAGAGGAGATGCACATACAAAAAAACATATCTACACAATCAGAGGTATGGAAGATATACCCTATATATCACCAATCTAAGTGATTCTCACTGCTGTGTGATCATTATGTAAACTGGTAACACAATTTACCACTACATAAAGGAGATATATCGCAAAAACTGGTATCTGAACGATCCGTGGTATAAGAGATAAAGCTTATACAGCATAGATTTTGACGATTTTCTCAGTAAACTTTGTAGTATTATTTATAAAATAGCTTACGAAATGTATCGGTTTTAGCTGTCCAAATAAAGGAGTTTTACAGTAAACCCCATATCTGAACAATCAGTTGTATGGACGCAATAAATAGGTTATAGTGACCTGATCTTTGTCAATTTTACTGCAAACTCTCTGTTGATAATGAGTGAAAATAGTGCGAAATTTCATGCTTCTAGCAGCATATATGGAGAAGTTACAACAAAGAATCTCATATCTGAACAATCAGTTGTATGGTGGCTATAGGTTATAGCGACCCGATCTTCGCCATTTTCACTGGAAGACACTGCAGTCGTTCGGTAGGCGAAAGGACCGGTTAATCTGCACGTCCTTCGAGTAGACACCGACTTGACATCTGATTTGTTTATTGTTACATTAGATATTTAGTTATAGCTATCACATCTTGGGTTGAGACAAATTTGTTTAGTAGACTCTTTTCTTATTGGGGCTTTCATTCAACCCCAGCAGCTACTTTTATCTCACTTTAACCTAAGGTAAAGCAGTAATAATGGCTGTATTCAGATAACAGAATACTATGGATGAAAGCTTTCGAACTAGAAAAAAAAAAAATGTAACTAGCGACTACTATGATTTCTGTCAAATTAATTTGAATTAAATTTTTTTCATAAATTTAAAACTAATTAAAAAGTTTAGATGTTAGTTTTAAATTTTAGAAAAAAAAAATTATAGTTGCCTTCACCACCGGTAATGAAACCGAGTGTTAAAAATTGAACAACTCTGTGGGATTTTTCCCTCTTCTAAATTGATTAATGACCAGGGGTTCGAAGATATCTTATTTTCCTTAACTTCCCTATGCAAATAAATTTTAAATGTTTATGCTGGTTTTCACTGATCATTACTTCGACATGGCTCTGATTTCGCGAGAAGCAACGAATTGTGTTCCATTCCCAGCGCGTTAACTAAAATTTTACTTTCTTAAGCTATATTTATTTTATTACACGTTTTCTATGACGTAAATCATTATAAATTACTTACATAATTATATAAATAAATTTATTATATTTAATAAACAATTGTTTTATAAAAAATCGTTATATAAACCATAAAACACAGAGGCTTACGGAAAAAGGAATAGGCATATAGATTTTTTCCCCATGTATGCAAGATTTTTTATTTAATTTTTTTTTCCTGCTAATTTTTTATAAAAATATATTTTATAAAATTTTAAAATAAAATTTAAAAACGATATTTAAAAATTGTTAAAAGTTTAGCAACTTTCTAAACAGATTTTCTAAAACGCAGGAAACTTCAATAAATTTATTATAGCAATTTTTACTTTCTAATCAAATTTTCTAGAATCCAGTTTGAGGCCCATTAATTTCTAGTATAGTAAGATGCAAGTTTGAAGCTGCACGATTTTTGTTCTCTTTTTTGTGTACTATGTTCGACAATTTTTTTATATGGACGAACTGCACAACACCGTCAATAGAAAAAAAAATGTAAAAAATCAACGGTGAGTCCTAGCTACTTCAAACTTACGATTGTAATGCCAAAATTTAATGGGCTACAAGACTGCATACCCACAAAAATTCTTAAAAATACGATTAGAAATTATAAAATTTCTTTCATAACTTTTTCTGAGTTTTGCACAAAGTTTAGAAATTTTATTTTAATGTTTTTTCTTGTAGTAGATATGACCAATATTTGTATAGAAAAAAAGGCGAAAAAAATTTAAATAAAATATTTTGCCTACATTGTGAAAAATTTTCTGTGACAATACTTTTTTCCGTGGCTGTATACATAGTTTAAGAGAATCGATTCAAACTCGAAAAGCGGGAAAAATTTAAACTCGAAAGTATTTTTTCGTAAAAAAAAACTTGACAGTTCAATTAAAGTCTCGAGGTTTTCCAGAATTTCGAGGCTTTTCTCAGTTTATGGGGTTATACTTATTGCACTTTTCACTTGTTTTGGGTTTTTTCTTTTACATAAGTATACATGAAAATGTCTTTAAAAGCAAAACTGCTATTTTAAGAATAATGTAAACAAATAAGCAATACAAATTTAAGCATGAGATCTCTCTCAGAAGGCGGCATGTAGTGTAGTGAGTAAGCTAGGTATACATAGTATGTAGTAAGTATGTACAATGAAAAAAAAAGAATTTAACTAAAAACTAAGTATAGGCAAAAAAAAAGACTTAAATATCACTAGATATTAATGAAAGCAAAAATGAATAAAACTTTTAACTAAAACATACAAAGGCATGCACTTACCTTCAGTTAAATGAACGAATCTACAATTTAACCGACTGCACATAGATCTATTGAAATCTTGGCACACCGGGAGGGTGTCCAGTAACTATTGGATTGTTGTTGTAGTTATTGTTGTTCATTTATTTATTTATTTTTTCAAATAAATGTTGAAAGAGTGTTGTACGAGTAGTTGTAGTTGTAGTTGTTTTATTGTAATGGCAATGCATATGGCGGATGCGGATGCGGTTCAAATACGTTACGAAACGGTTACGGATTCAATACGGATGCGGGCACAAAAATGTTGTTGAATAATACAATAAATAAATCAAATAGCCAACCAATCAGTCAATCAATTAATCAATGAAATTGACAAGAAATTAAAAGAATTTGGAGAAGAGCACGTTATCGCAAATAATCCAATGTTTACAAAATGAAAACAAATTTTGTTGTTTTTGATTTTTTTGTTTTAATTTTTTATTTTTTTTTGGAAAAAATGAGAAGAGAAGAAAAAAAGAAAGAAAAAGACCAAAAATTAGTATCATATGTTAACTATGAGCTCATAATAACTATAAGGATAATCAATAATAATAATAACAATTAATACAAATACAGTTACAAATACAAATTTATATGTATGTAAATATGATTAAGAATTCCCAAGTATCAATCGGGTAGTTACGGCACTTCGTTGGCAGCGGGTTGTGTAATCGGGGTTTTCGTTTTCACATACATACATATTTTGTTGGTACTGTAAAATTTTCTTTTACGATTTCTAGTAGGTATGCCGCTAAGTGTTTTGATGATGCGCATTAATGGTTAATATTTTCATAAATTTCTTTGTCTACGCTAATTTTAAATATGCTATTGTTTATATAGTTATGAATTAAACTAAGTATTGCATGTATAAATATATAAGTATGTATATTTTCTAATTATTATTATTTCCATATGTATCTATCTATATGTATCACAGCGCAAATTAAGAATATGAGGTGTTTATAGCAAGGCGATTAAGCATTCGGTGTATAGAAATAAAGTTTCAGTTATAAAACTTGGGGTAAAATGTAGTACTTTGGCTCACAAGAAGAGCTTTTGAAAGTGGTAATTTTGAAATCAATCTTGAAAAGCGATGTGGTAGGCATTTGTTTTGCGGACGAGCTTAAAAGCTCGAAGATAAATATGTTTTTGTTGGAGATGTCGCAAATTTGGATTTTACTGAGCAATGAAAATAACTTAAAAACGAAGCTTTTGGAGCAAAAAGCTTGAAAACTGCTGAAGCTTTTTTGTTTTTGGACAAAAGGAAGTTTCTCATATTCTACATAAATTTTTGAATACTTTCAAAATAAATTGCTGATGGTGTATGAAATGTAAGCAGCTTCTAAAAATTTAGTATTGCGCAGATTTGTCTTACTCTGAAAGGCTTCTGTTCCGAACTGAAATTCTAATGATTGCATTCTGTTTTTCATGAAGTAGTGAAAAAGTTTAAAGTTTCGTAACTTGCAGGCTTAAAAGCTTACACAAGGTGCAGTGCAATTTTAATATGAAAAGTGGGAAATTCTCGAATTGTGCGGGATTGGTGTTACTTTACCTGAAAAGATCTAAACCAATCTAGTGGTTTTGTTATAAAAATTGAAAGCTTAAAGTTTCAACAAAAAAAGAAACTTGCCACATTTAGTCTGAAAGTTTAAAGTTCAAAAAGTATTCCTTATGTGTAGGCACGAATCATTTTTTTTGGCGAGGCTCTCAGTGCCATTAAATTGAAGGGTGCTTTCTGAAAGCTTTTTCAATTTTCTTCTTGAGTGAAAGCTCCTTAAGGGAAATTTTGGTCAAGTAGCTTTTAAAATTTATCTGCCCTTTAAATAAATTGTTCCGGAACAAAATTTATGCATAAAGCGCATATAAATTTTAAATGCTACTTGAGAAAACGATCCTTAGTTGCCTAAAAAATTGGCATTCGAACGAAGAAACAAGAACTAATGGCTATTTTTTAATTTTTTTTTGAAATGTGTTTTTCATTGCTCTTACTGCTCTAAAAGTTATTGCCGATGAGCTTATATAATCTTTAAAGCTCTCGTAAAAAATAAAACCACATTTGACAGTCAAATAGTGATTTCGTATTTTGGAATTTTTACAAGCGCTTATGGCGATTGCCTATTGCCCTTAAAAGTCTATAAATTTCGAGTATTAACATACATAAAGATGCAGATAGACGAACGTCAGGTTAGACTTAATTTTTTGAATGCTTAAGTTTATAGGTTTATGAATATGCATAGATCAGTCGCGACCAAAACATATTCCAAGGGTGAAGCTTTTTAAAGCTTTTATTTTGGAACCATATTCCATCATCCCTAGCGAAATCGTTCTACAATGCATCACATTGCCACCCTGTCGGAAGCATCAGCAGACTTTCTATTAGTTTTATATAGAAGGGTAAAAGCTCTCCGTCATCGTAACTGTTTTATTTCTATACCCCCATAAGAGAATCGCCTTGTGGTTGGGACATTCCAAAATTATCTATTGCAGTTCAGTAATTATTGTAAATGGTACATTTTAAAGAATTTTCAATAATGTTGAAATAAATATATAAAAGGCTAATGACACATTTAGTAGCTGAGTATGTAGCTACTATTTTGCATATGTTTTTTTGTGAGTACGTATTGAATAAAATTCAGAACTTAAAATCCACAATTTTATAAGCTAAACTGAACCCATTTTTTCTGCAAACTCATAAGTATTTGTAATTATATTAAAACTATCGCATACATTTAGGCGCATAACCGGTGTAGAATTTTGCTAAAAGCACAATCATATCAAGAAAAAATAATTAAAATAGCTAAAAAATTTCACTTCAGAAGACCATTCGATTTAACTTCCATTGGTTTAAAGAAAAATTAAGAGTTAAAAGCACTAAAGGTAGTAGAAAGCTTTGAAGCTGTAGTTGTATGTCGATATTTATGTACGCAAAAAAAGCATCCCGCAGTTAATATATTTAATTGAAGAAGAGAGGTAGTGAAAATATGGCGGCAAGTAAGCAAGTAAATATGGTAAGCTTTAAAGCTCGAAGCGTAAGCGGTAGCGATAAGCGTTCACAACAAAATGGTTTAGAGTTAAGTAGTTGTTCTTGTAGTTGTAAGCAAATAAGTTTTTCAACTCACTTTGTCAACTCACTTCTCTGTATTGTGCGCACGCGTTTCGAATGCTTTTTAAACGCTTTTTCTTTGTTGTTGCTTTCGTCATGGTTTTTGTTTTGGAAGATTGTTATTTGCTAATTTTTCTCAATTAAATGCTTTCGTTTGATTATATTTTTGATTGAACTTTAATTTCGATTGCTTAATTTTATTTGCAGTGCAATGTTGTAAATTTTCACTAAGGAATGTTGATTTCGTTTCTTTTAACTAGAAATTAATTTCGTTACGATTTTTAATATTTTCTTTTTTTGATTTTAGACTTTTGATTTACGATTTTTTTTTTTAATATTTCAGTGAGCTTATGAACTAATGGGCTGTCTTATGCAGTAACAGTTACATATCCTAATAGGCGGCACTAGAAATATACAAAAAAGAGAAAGAGAAAAAGAAAGAAATACATATATACAAATTCACACAAGTAAGTAAAATTTACGAGTACTATAAAAAATGTATCTTGAAATATTCTAATATCATGTAGTGGATTTGAATAAAATCTAAAAATTTATTTACTGATCAGAGATTATGGTATAAGAGCGTGGTTGGAAGAATTTGTTGTGAAAGTAGAGCTTTTTGTGGGCGCAAGATAAACTTTCGGATTAAACGCTATTAATAAAAAATGGAACAGGTTAAAAACTCGCAGAGTAGCTTTTTGCCTCGAGAAAGTGTCTGCTAAAAGATATGAAGAGCGGTTAAGGCATGGGTCTTGTGTAAAAGCTTCGGAGAAGCAATAAAACTATTGCTGATATGTCAAGATTTTCCTAACATTTTTTCTATTATGTGCGCATGAAAAGTCTGCTTTTAGAAAAAGTCTTCCGAGGCTTTAAGTTTAAAAGCTTTTAGGTTACACAAAAATCTTTTTGTTACAATACTCGAAAAAGTGAAGCTTTAAGCTCCAAAGCTTGTACTCTCAGAAAAAAGCTTCCGAAGCTTTAACTCCAAAAGATTTTGGGCTATTACAAAGCTTTTTATTACAATACCAATACACAAAAACAATATGAAGCTTTCAGCTCCAAAGCTCTTATGCGTTTCAAAAGTTAAAGAAAACATGCTAAAGGAGCGTTTTAAATTTTCCATATAGTTTTTAATAATTGAAGGACACGGAAGAGGAGTAATATTTTTTTTTTTCATTAGTTAGACAATTTTGTAAAGTTTTCGAGCTAAATTTGTTATAGCTTTGAATAGAACTCCGTACTGAGCTTTCAGAACAAAGCTTTTTTGAGCTTTTTAAATTTTAAACATTTTTAATTAAAATTATTGAAATTAAAATCATAGAAGATCGACCTTTCAAAGCACAGCACGATAAGAAAGTTTAAGAAAGTATATACATAAGTACGTGGTATGTATATTTTTCGAAAACAAACTTCTACAAAAGCTTGAAGTTCTCTAATAATGATAAGTTTTCTTTTAAGTAGTTTCTCAAATTATTTAAAATATTTCTGTGAAACGCTAACTTTTTTTGATCTTGCTAAGTACCATCATAAACACATAAATAAAAAAAAAAAACAGTTTTTCTCCATACACAATTGCGATAAAAAATCTAAAAGCACATGTAAGCTCAAAAGGGGTAATGCAAGTGTGTAAGCTCATAAGACCTTAGAAACTACTATAAGAGTATTATATAAGCTTCTGACAGTATATTCATTTGTGCGTAAGCTTTTAAAGCCTGTAAGCTTTCACGACAGACACAGTAATAAAGCTTCAAAGCCGCAAATAAAAAATACTTTGCACACACTTTTTTAATTAAAATCTTTTTTTTTTTGTTACCTAATCGTGTAAAATATGCCATTAATTAGCACTGGACACTGTGGATATATTATGCGCCGATCCGTATGAGCTGTATGGCATTTGGCAATTGGTTTTTGTTTTGTTTGTTTGAGAGGCGAATTGTCGCGCAATAAAATTCATAAAAAATGAAAATAGAGAAAAAAAAGTTTATTTAAAAAATTTTACTTTGAGTTTAAATATTTACTATATATGTATTTCTATAGCTAAGTATTATAATAAAAAGAGTAGTGAATGATTAACACGCACTTATTTATATAAATTTCCAAATAATGTAAAAAATAGTAAACATTTTATTATTTGTAGTTGGAAATATTTTTTATTATTTCTGTTGAAAGCATTTAATGAGTATTAAGCAGCAAACCGAATTTTTGAAAAACTTGAAAACGATTTAAAAGAGAGTTTTAAGGAAGACTTTGAAAAAATATTAATACAGCTTTAAAGCTCGCCAGACCGCATAGGCAATGCTTGGTTAGAATACGATTGGAGGATGCTTCTTTTTGGTGAGAAGAGTTAAATTTAATGGGACAAAGGTTGTGGGAAAACTGGCAGACACAGCTGGCTGTAGTGTAGTTGTATACAATACAAAAGTTGTCACCGCACTTTGCTTACTAAGACTAATCTAATGGCATATTGCAAATATCACTTGACCAAAAGAGAGGGCTTTGAATACGATTTTTTTTAATAATGGCGCTTTTAAAAGCTCCGTGAAAATGGAGCTTTAAGCTCGAAAGCTGTTTTTAGAAGTGGAGCTTAAAGCTACAAAAATTTTAAAATGGTGCTTCGAGCTCAAAAGCTTATTGAAAGTATCATTTATATCGATAATATGAATGGAAATGGACATTAAAGAGCCGACATTATGAGCCCAATATCACTGGACTATGAAACTTAAAACGCTCTACATGCTCGAAGCACAGTTAGCTCGCCGGATTACTAGCTCAATGCTGTCTAAGGAAAAACAATCAGGGTAGTTCGTGAGATTGCTGATAGAAATTTTTGATTGGGCTTCCAGAACCTGAAATTTCTGGCATACATACATAGTATGTATATAGTAACAAATCCCCGGAACTACTGTCACGAGTAGTTACGTGGCATTCTAAATAGTTTCTGAGGTCATAGTGATGTCAAAATAAGGTGAATAATTCGTCAGTTGCGGACGATTCATAGTTTCTTTAGTACCAAATTTGTTTTTGTTGACCCTTTCCGCTTAGCGAAAAAGCTCTTAAATAAAACAATTGCTCACTAACGAAGCTTAACTACAGATTTACAGCTTTCCTAGTATAAAAATACCGTCAGTATTTTTTTTGTCAAAGAAAATGATACAATTTTTAATTGACTCTCAAAGTCAACTTAAATTCAACTCAAACTTTCGGTAGTGAAAGCTCCATTGAATTCAATTGCAAAGTTAATAACTTCATTTAGTGGCAGCAAACACGTTTTTTTATGGCATTTTAGATGAACTTACGCGGATCTCGTAAAACATTTAATTTCTTGCACTCTGGATAATACGCTCTAAATCTACTGAAGCGGGCGACATTTTACGCGATATATACGCCTCATTGATTTTTACTGAGATTTTCATACATTTTTTATTGGCTGCAACTAAAACAATAAAAAAATTCTGTTTATTGCTTGCAAATTTCATTTGCTAGTACAGTTTCGCAAAGTTTTACTGCCACACACACACCCCCGCCACCGTTAAACAGCCATGAATAGCAGCGCACCCTGCAGCAGTTTATCACTCAACACTTGTGAGTGCGCTCATTGAAGTGTTGAGTTATTTGTTTTATAACATAGTGGGCGGCAGTGATTTTTGTTTTTATATTTTTTTATTGTGTTGTTTGCCGAAAAGTGCGCCATAAAAGTGAGTGGGTGGGAGGGGCTGTAGCTATGCTTGTGGCTGTGGTCGTGCTGATTGGCTGCTATTGGCAATGCCAATGGCCACTTGTTGACACTTAAAGCATTTAATTCGATTATGTCGCGCTTGTGAAAAAGCTCAATGGATGTGCAGCGCAGAGTATTGAAGGACGAAGTTGTTGTGCGTTCGTTCGCTTGCGTCATTAGTTAGCTCCATTAGGGCGGTGTGTTTTTTGTTGTTGCTGTGGTTGCATCTTTTGTGCCCGCTTTTTACCAACTCTACATTTTTGGAAAGTTTTACAAGCAAATGCTTTTGCGGTTATTTAATTACGATTTTAGTGCAGCTTTTGGCCTGTAGTGTTTTGCTGCATTTGCATTCGGGACCAATTTTTGGGTTAGCTAAAGTAGATGTGGATGCGTGTTAGGCGGTGTGAAAGTGGGCGTAATTGGAGTTTTTTTTTTAAATGTTTTTCTACTGCTGCTGTCGGTTGCTGGATAAAGGATTGGGTGCCAAAGTGAATATTTTCGCATTGTACAACATGCTGGGTATATGTGTGAGTTATGAATGGGATATTTTGTGAAAGTGTTGTGAAATGTTAAATATCTATAGATTTTGTTTAAACGATTTTATCCCTACTTTAAATACATTGGTATATATGAAAAATGAATTGAAAAGAAAATACATATGTCGGCTTAGTTTTAGTTTTAACAGACAGTTCTCATGTTTTGCGGCAATCCTCTTTTCATCTTAAAGACACAGTTTGCCATGATTTTATCTACTAAATTATAACTTACAAAAATATATTTATTTTTTAACAAAAAATGAACTCACTCAATCCTCAAAAGCTGTAATTAAATATACGCATTTGGCCAAAATAATATATTTTGTGTTAAAGAAAAAAAAAAATTATCTTAAATCAATGGGATCTCCTAGCAACTTCAGCCTCGCGTTTTATTGTGCCAAAATTTAATATACTTGCGTACCAAAAATTATTCTAAAGGTTCTCATGGAACTTTGATGAAACTTTGCTGATTTTTCTTAATTTTTGCACTAAGTTTGAGATTCCCCATTACATGTTTTTTGTTAGTTATTGAGCTATGCTTTTGTAAAAAAAAAATAGCAAACATTATATAAATAAAAAAAAAATGATCAAAACTGGCAAAAGTGTAGCATGGTTTCTATTACCATGGCCATAGCTACATATTTTTAGAAATTTTACCTTCAGTGTTTATACATATTTTTGGTTAGGCACTCAAGACCAGTCTTCAACCAGTGCATAATTCAAGCTTTAGACTTCTAAATGTGGATTTCTACCAATTAAATCTTTCTCTTTAGGGTTTTCCTTAGAGGCGATATAGATTGCTCGTAAATTTAATTTTACCAGTCCAATCGAAATTTTATTTCACAAATTGTCTTTGAAGAAGTTATTGCATTCCCAATTGAGCTTTCCCTAAAGCAGTAGAAGAACTGGAGAACAATTTTAGTACAATTTTATATACTTTGTCTCAAGTACTAATAATTTAGTACATTTTAGTAAGACAAAAAGTTGGAGCAAAAAAGAAGATAAATTTTAGTATATCAGTTAATATTTGGACAGTTAAAGTTTTATTTAACGTCTATTTTGTATTCAGGTAACTTGAGTATTTACAGT